TTTTTTGTGTGGTTGTTGGTGTTTTTTTTTTTTTTTTTTTTTTTTAGAATATTTTTTGCTATAGGGTGCGTGCACTCGCCAAAAAGACAGAGAGAGACAGAAAGCGAGAAATCACCACCCAGGGGGGATGGCCCTGCTGCAATCCCTTTTCCTCCATTCTCCTCTTGGGATCTTGGACATGCATGCACACGTGCCCAGTGTGAGTTTAAGCCACTGGGTCTGGGACTCGAACCATGGTCGACTACGTAGAAGTCCAGTGACATAGCCATTACGCTAACTGCTGGTCCCGGTAGTTGAGTTTTGAAGGCATTTTGGTGTGTTGCCTCCTGGGTCTTGCAAGGAGAACACAATCAACCATCTTTATCTTCCCCAAAATTAAGGCATCAGATGGCTTGCCAAAAGAAGTATCCACATGTTTTTCAGTTCTTTCTTCTAAAATTTCTGGGTCATCCAAGCCTGTCCCACCAATTACTCCAATCTTCACAGAGTTGTTGGCAGTGTCCAAGGCCATGTCTGCGTGGTGGAGGAAGCACTCGGGACTGAGTGAGCTAATAGTGCTGATAAGCCACAGTCTGGCCAACCAAGCGCGGGAGTGAACCCACTTTACATCTATTACTAGATATCTGGCTTATTTTTCCAGTCCTGATGCTAACAGCAATCTTGCTGCCAAAATCATGTATTCTATCCTAACTATTTACCAACTGCTATGGTTTGTGTCCCCCTGAAATTCACAAAGTCAAAATGTGGGTCCTTTGGGGGTGATTAAGTGAGTAGAGGGCATCCGGGCATCCCTGTGGTTGACTCACGGTGAACTTACAAGGGTAGGGAATGAGACACGAGAGATACATAAAACACAGACCTTGTTCTGCCCTCCGCCCTGTTCAGATACACCAAAAGACTCCTGCCAGAGATGTTCACTGGCACTTGGACCACCAAAACACAAGCTGAATAAAACTCTGTTCTCTTAAATTACCCAGATTCAGGTATGTTTGTTATTCCCAATGGAATGGCCTTCAGCACCACCTTACTATGCATAGCTGAGCTCTAGTAACAAAGAGCTACTGGTGTATTCTAATAATTTTTCACTGCCACTAATTTGACAAATATTTGAGCACCGAGTATGTGCTGGTGTTAGAGCAGTGGACTTGACTAATTCCCTGTCATATGGAGCTTGCATTCTAGTGGACAAGATGGATTTTAAACAAGTTTAACCAAAACGATTTGATGTAGGGTAGTGATGAGTACGATGAAGAAAAAGAAAGCAGCCTAAGGGACTAGCAGTAGTAGTCAGAAAAGGCCTTTCTGGCACAGGAAAGAATATTCCAGGCTGAAGGAGTGGCAATAGCAAAGGTCCTGAGGCTGGAGGGCATTTGGTATGCTTGAGGAAATGCAAGGGCAGCAAGTATGCCTGGGACACAGGTGAGAGGGGACAGAGAGAGAGCCAGAGAAATCGGGCCAGGCCTCTCAGGATTTCATGGGCAGGAGCTTTGAGTTTTACTGTGAGAAAGACAGGAAGCCATGGGATGGCTTTTGGGAAGAGAGAGATTCAGACGTAAGCGAAAGCCAACATGCATTCGCACGAATACTTATTTAGGATTCATCTATGATGTTATTGGGCACTGTTCTGGTGTGTGTAGAGGACAAGAGGAAAAGTCGAGGAGGTCACTACCTCGTAGGAAGAGACAGGCAGTGAGGAGGTGGAGCTACAAGGACACCATCTGTCAGGTGCTGTAAGTACTGTGGACAATAAGATAGGGCAGCAGAGAGAACAACTGGAGGTGGTCAGAGAAAACCTCCCAGAGAAGGTGCTCCGTGAGCAGAGAGCAGACAAAAATGGGGGCAGGTGGCCTGTAGCATGTTACCTCAAGGAAGAAACTTCTGGGGAGGAAGAAACTTCTGGGGCAAGAACAAGTCTCCAGCAGGTTCATGTTTTGGGGATTGCTGTTCGGAGAGTTTTACCTGCATCCCCTGTGTCAATCCTGAGTCCTAGGGGGAGAGTGGCAGATTGGAAGCAGAGGACCATTCAGAGCTTAATTGCCCAGGGGAGAGATGGTGGCGGTTTGGATTAGGACATTGGCAGTGAAGATGATGAGAGGCAGGCAGATTTGCGGTAAGGAGGGTCGGTTCTCTACACGATTTCTGTGAGGATGTGATTTGAAAGTAATGCATGACTTTCTGGTATACTGGAAGTGGGATATGTTGAGAAAAGAGACTAAAGAATCTTTCCTGAGTTTTTCCTAAACAACTGATTGACTTACAATCACTTATTGAGAAGGGGATTGTTGTGGAAGAAGCAGGTTTTTCAGCCTGCATGTTCGTGTTTGAGATTCCTGTTAGGGGGACCAGCAGTTAGCGTAATGGCTATGTTGCTGGACTCCCATGTAGTCGACCTCGGTCCGCGTCCCGGACCCGGTGGCTTAAACTCATGCTAGGCATGTGTGCATGCATGCCCAAGATCCCAAGAGGAGAATGGAGGAGAAGGGATTGCGGTGTGGCCATCCCCCCTGGGGGGGTGATTTCTCACTTTCTGTCTCTCTGTCTTCCTGGTGAACACATGTGCCCTATAGCAAAAACTTCTCAAAAAAAAAAAAAAAAGAAAAGAAAAAAAGAAATTCCTGTTAGGCACCGCCGGCATCCTGTAGGCAGATTGCTACCCGTGTTTGGTATCCAGTGGCGAGATCAGAACTGGAGGTAAACATTTGGAAGTCTGCAGCATATATAATAGATGACGTTTAAAACATGGGACCGGTTAAAATCACCTGGGGAGAGATGTGAATACAAGAGATTGTGAATTAAATCCAAGGACAATACAAGGTATGAAGGTTGGCAGGGGGAGAAGTCAGCAAAGGACCCCCAAAATGAGACCACACAGTAGTTTGTGTCCCAAAAATCAAATGAAGACAGTATCCCATGAAGGAGTATTCGGTTGCACCGAAGACCGTGGAGAACTGACACTGGGTGAGGACTGGGAATGAAACGTCAGATTTGGTACCATGTTGCTCGTGGGTGACCTGGACAAGGCCCAGTACCGAATTCCTCCTTTATACGTTATTTCCTTCATCTCTCATAGCACGTTTCACATGCATCTTTTAGCAGAATTATTGTTCTGTGCATTTATTACACAAAAGGATTAATCCAAGAAAGACAGATACCAGATAGTCATCTTTGTATGACCAGTGGTGCCAAACATTTTGCTCACAGTGAGCTCTGAAACACTTTGTTTTAGGAACATCTACAGAGATCTATTAAGAGTTTAAGTTGACAGTTATTCCAAGGTACTGTAAGATTTTCATTGGTGAGAATAATATTTTGTTTCATTTAGAGGGCTTGTTAAGACAGGGGAGTATTTGCTATGAACGTGATTAAACTATATTCTCGGAAACATAAAATCAATACCTTTTTTAAAAAATGGTGTTGCTCGTTAGTCTGGATCAGTTATATTCTGCTTCTTATATTATAGTCGTAAAGTAAAACTCAGACCTTACAGGAAATAGTATAAAGGTAAATACAAGTTGTATTTACCCTGAATGTAAAAATTGTCCCTACATATAGTTCTCAAAGGAGGGAAGATCCTCAAAGATCATGTGGTATCAGACTTTCAGTTTTTTTTTTTTTTTTT